CTTTGAGCTGCAGGGAGTGATCTGGTTTTGTTTTTAACTGTGTAAAAGCCTTTTCTCCTACAGTCAAGGTTTTGACTAGTTAGTTGCCATCTCTGACTTCCTCCATGTGTGTTGTGTACCCTTGAATGATGGCACAACAGATAAAGGATGGGTGCCCCTCAGAAAGAGACCATTCAGATGCCTGCCTGGCTGCACCCCTCATGGAGGCTTAAGTGCAACTTAGCTAAGGAGGGTGTGATGCCTCTGTAATGCTGTATGTCTATCAGCATGTAACCACAGGTGAGGGCCCAATCAGCCACTGCAACCAGTGCTTCTCAGTCTTGGTGCACAGACAAAGCCGACTATTGCTTACACTGTCCATTCCACTCACTCACATATTCATTCAATAGGCACTCAGAGTTTAAACATTTCAACCCTCTTCCCTTGAAGGTGGTCCTGACTAATGAAAGTTGACCTGACTCCCTTTCTGCTTGAGCTGAGCAACACTGACAGACAGACAGGAGTGCCCCCAGGGGTCTTACCAGAGTCAGGCAGGCAGGTAGGCAGACAGACACATACTGCATCCTCCTCCATTTGGGGTCCAGTGTGAGTCACTCAAGCAGGAAGACAAGAATCCTCCTCCAGACCTGTGAAGGGACACAAGGAATCTCATAAGCGTGCCTTCCTGGGGAGATCCTTGCTCTGTCAGTGACCAAAGAGGTCAGCACAGCTGATCTTCCTGGCTGGCACCAGATGCAACAGCAAACAGAAACACTGAAACAGCACCCAGGATTTGAGGCAGATTTATTTACATCACTGAGCACTGATTAAGTTCATTCCCAAAATATCAGGCCCTAAAGGCCCAGGGAGAGAGGTTTGTATGGAATTGGAAGGGGAAGTACAGAGGCAGAGTACTAGGCTGTCTCTGATTGGTTCTTACAATATGCATCATAGTGACCAGTTATGTATCACAGTGACCAGCCATTTCTAGGAGACAAAAGTAATAGGAACTGTAACCGAAAGTATTAGCTGGAAAACTAACAGACTGAAGTATACTGACAGGGTGGGGACATCTGCTACAGTCCAACACTCACATGATGGTGATAAAATCATTTCAAATATTTCATTGAAAACTAAAACCTAGGAATATTTTCAATCTTTATTTTATTTTTTAGAGTCCTTTCAAATATTCTATTTCATTTCCATTTTTTCTGAAAAAAATGAAACATGGAGAATTTATCCAAGTTTTTTCTCTTTAAAATAAATCAAACTGGAAGCCCTGATAGACATTGTGAAATGAAAGGAAACTGCTCAAAAGTAAAGAGCAACTGGGATGAGGGAAAAGAGAAAAGAAAGAAGGGAAAATTATGTGTATATGTATATGTAGGATAACTAACACAGTTGTACTACCAACTTCTATCACTTTACTGAAAGGATCAGTTAATGGTTAATTATTTGATCCATTTTTCATGTCTCTATTTTCCTGAGAAACCACTTTGAAGATATCAATATGTAATACAACAGCCATTATTAATTTCCTACCATTTTGTCTGTAATTCAGTATTGCTTGTATTGTTCTTATGCTATTTTATAAATGGATGTCTATTTATTATTATATTTTCCTTCTTTTATTTTTAAAATAAATTTTTAAAAAATTAAAAAATAAAACAAACTGGAAGCCCTTTTATACAATACTTGCTAGAGAAAACTTTTGTGAAGAAACTTGGATATATCACACTGAAGTCTTTCTACATATTTGCAAATACATAGAGGTACAGGCATATAACTTATAAAGATGTAGAAGAATTTTCTTGTATAAATAGATTTGAAGCTTTATGTTTTTGTATTTACACACGTGACAATATAGAGGGAAATCTACTGGATAAAACTTGAGAAATATATAGATGTTTGAGACTATATTTCTAATATATGTGTTTTTAAAATGTGTGTATAATATACAATTGTATCAGCCAGGGTTTTACTAGAGAAACAAATATGACACAAGATGTACAAATGTATAAGAAATTACAAGATTGGCTTACAATGGTCAGCCAAAGAGCTGGATGAGGAAGTGTGCAGTGGGTGTCTGCACACTGGAAACTGAAGGATTCAGTCCAACCAAGGTCTGGAGTTAACTGCCGTGTCCAAGCAAGTCTGTATCAGAAAGCCAATGGGTCTGCAACAAAAGGCTGATGAGTCTATGCCAGGAGGCCAAAGAATCCAAGGCAGAAGCTAAGGAGTCTGCATTAGAAGCCAGGAGACAAAGCTGAAGGCAAAGACTGGAGCCCCTCCAAAGAGCAAGAAGCCCTTCTGTCCTTCCTCATTCGCCTTTTATGTCATCCAGGTGATGAGCCACTCTAGAGTGGGTCTTCTATACCCTAGGGTATAGAATTGCTGAGCTGATTTAGTTAAGCTTCTAAGCTTCTCAAATTGACAAAATCAATCAAGCACAATAATCATACACTGTGTATATGTTGGTGGTCCCATATAGTACAGTGTAGTTGGAAAATCCTACCATGTAGTGATGTCATAGGCATTCCATCAAAATTTCCTGAGTATTCTTTCATATTTATTTTTCTAGATGAACTTTGGCATTATTTTTGATAATCCTCCGCCAGTGTAATTCATATGGGCTTCTTACTGAAGGTACACATTGGCTACTGATGTCTAAGACACTCTTCTATCTCCAAGTAACATATGCCTCTCTGTCTTCTTTTAAATCTAGCTATAAGAATATTTACAAATATCTTTATCATGACAAGACCTGACCTACCCATTCTATTCCTTAATTAATTGTCAATAGAAGACTATTGACTTTTATGTATTAATGTCAAGTGTTAGCAGGGTCAGGTCATCTAGGTCTTTTTTTACTGCTTCCAGTGTTTTTCTGTAGGTATAATCCCATATTTTGACCTGAGACATGTGATTTTATCATATTCAAGGAGTACACAATTATTTCTACAGGATAGTCAGCTTTCTATCACTGTGATAAAATAGCTGCTATAAGTCAGCTAGTAAGGAGAACACTTCATTTTGGCTTGGTCTCAGAAGTTTCAGTCCATGGTTATTGGTCACACCTGAGGGCCAGTGGCAAAGCAGAGAATCACAGTTGGATGTGTGTGGAGGGACAAAGCTGCTCACGCCATAATGGGTGGACAGTGGAGAGAGGAGGAAAGCTACAGTCCCAGCATCCTCCCCACAGCCATGACATCAGCAACTTCACTTCCTTCAACTGGGCCCCACCTCTTTCAAATGCTCCATCAGCTCCCAATAGCACCATCAGCTGGGGACCAAATCTTTAACACATGAGTTTCTTGGGAACATCTGAGATCCAAATCATCACCCCTATTTTACTATGGCTTCTTTGAAGTCAGAAACAGACAGACTTTTATAACTGCTTCTTCTATCTCATCTATGTAATCATATCTTTTACCACTTGGCCCATAAATATGGGGTATTATCTTAATAAATATCCTAAGAGTAAGCATTTCTTAAAGTCCTAGAATAAACCTCATTTAGTTTTGTGTAATCTTCTAGCTTACTGTTGGATTCATATTTGGCTTGTCATTCAGGATTTTTGCGTAGATATTTGCATATGAAACTAGCCCATAATTTTCTTTTTGTGCTAATTTTATCCAAATTTATATGCTGGTTTTGTAAAAAGATTCTTGCTCTGGTAAAATTATAAAGGCATCATAATTATCATTATCCTGAATATTTGAATGCACTCATGCAGGAAAACATCAGAATCCAGTATTTATTTCAAGCATAGCTTTTTGAAAACCTGAACAGAACAAAATAAATAAATAATTCTGGTACCATTCTGACATATCTCAATAGTGGCTTGGATTTCCATGGTTTGAGAATAGGCTGTACTTAGATAAATCAAAAAGAAAGGACACAAAGTATAGTCAGGACACACAGCAAAGAGATCAGCAGCAGTACCTAGGACATTCAGAGATGCAAGGTTCTGGATACTAAACTCCCAGAACAGAGAATGCAGAATGACTGGTGACACTAGAAAACTAACTGTCTCC